AAAAAAAAAAAAAAAAAAAAGATTGGTTCATCAAACAAAAAATCAGAAAGAAACGTGATTCCCAGTATTCTTGCGCTTAACAGATTGCGAAAAAATTTTAGGTGTGGTATACTAAACAAATAAAAAACTCGTTCAATTTCTGCACCGCTTTTTTTAGCCGTTGCTACTCAAAAATCAACTCAACTTTTTCCCATCTGCCAAGTATTTTCAAAAGATGTAAAAATAAGCGTTTCCTTTACTGTCAGGAAAGGTATTATAAGAAGCAAAAACGACTGCCTGACTATTGTAACAATTTCGTATGCTATTTTATTAAAATACACCAAAACTAAAATTTTTTGATAGTCTACACTCAGAAACTACTCTATCATAGACTGCAGTAATAATAGTGCGATAATAAAGCGGGTTTTACTGCGAGAGAAAATTTCCGATTAATGAAAACAAATCCACTGAATTAGAAAACATTTCTGATTAGAAAGTAAAAGATTGGGTGTACCTTATCAGTTTCATTCAATGGAAACCTCTCACTAACTTCCTTCGGATTTAAAGGAAACTGGAACTTCCGCTTTTCATTCGGGATGAGAAGCTTCCGTAATTTTCCAGAATGTAAGACACGCTTAAGAGTCAAAGTGAGATTCCTGGTCATTTCTAGTCCTTCACTCGCCAGAAGAGCAACTGGAGATCCATAGCGGCCATGAAGAAGCAGTCGACGACGGTTAACGCGACCCTAAAACAAATAATGATAATAAAATATATCATATATAAGGGCCTGTACAAAAAAAACGCACCAGAATGAAACGATCTACACCACTAATACCAAAACGGAATGGATTATTTCTCCGGTTCTCCAGCTTTTTAAAGACCAAATTTTGAAATTCAAGCCGTTCATCAACAAGTTTCTGATCCATATTCTAAAAAAACACCGCTGGTTGGGGAATACTAAATAAAAATATCAGTGGTGGCAATTTGATACTGATGACCATTTACAGTATAACCTTCAGTTCTCTTCTGTTCAAATCAAAACGAAATTTGGGAATTGCGTTTAAGAAGTTGGACGCTACTGCAACGTAACGTTGATGATCAGCCACATCCGTAAAAACTGAAACTTTTCCCTTGAATGGTACTGGAGGGACGTATGGCATTTGGTTGAAATCAGTCTGTAAAGCAAAACGCCTAATTTTGATTTGGAAAGACTAATGAATAGTCAACGAATAAATGAAAGAAGTGTATTACTCTCGCCCTCTGTTCGTCACCACCAGCTTTTTTCAAATCTTTTGCTTTTTCTCGTTTTTCCTTGACAAATTTTTGTATAGCCTCAGCCCTAAAATTTCCATTGCCACAAAATAATTACAATTCAGTGTTTCCTAATCTGATTAACTTTTTCATATCCATACTAAAACGAACCATAAACGTCAAACAGCAGTGGTCAACCGTTTTTCAAAAATAGAAAAAAAAAAAAAAAGAAAAAGTCAAAAAAATTAACGTACTCTGTCAGACCCTGATTTACATAAGATTTGATGACCAGTCCACTTGGAAGATTAGCATACTGCCTTTTGGTTTTCTCCTTCCGCTGCCTCTTAATAGGGCCTCCATCGTTCCCTGCGGCACCTTGTTGCTCTGTTAAGCAAAGTAAAGTTGAAAAAATTTGGGTGCAAAACCATGTAAACTCAAAAACTTTATAAGGTGCAAGAAATTACTGCGCACAAACTAAACAAATTATTAAGCAGCAAAAAAAAACCTCAAACGTTCTAAGGAAAACGTCACAAAAAAAGAATTACAGTAGCAACAATTGAACACAGGTTTAAAACTCACCTTCTGCCTTTTTTCTTTTCCATGGAGGATTCCCTTGAAAAATTACATCTTCGCCACCAGTAAACTGGTGTATTCGTGTCTTAACACAATTAATACAAAAAAGCTGATTATGTCTCAGAGCAGCCAAAACAGAATGAACAGGTTGTTCCAAAAAAGGGCAATCAGCAACTGATTTTGGAAGCCACGTGAAATCAGAAACAGAACCACCTTCTACTGGTGCTACAAGCAAAATATTACTTATTCTGATAATAAAACAAAAATTCTACAATATTAATACTGCCGGACATATAACTTTATACGGGTCTGTAGACTGGCAAGCAAAGTCTCAAAACACGTAAGAAG